CATACGAAATCGACAAGAACAACATCAAAGGCACCATGGTGGCCAGAGATTTGCACACAGCCACCTCAAATCTCAAGATCTGGACCATCCAGATTCACATACACCAGATCCACGCGAGGTAAGGTCCAAGAAGGGATATCACCTTGCTACAAGCGACGAGGAACCATAGGAAGAAGAAGAGGTGAGGTGGAGAGGTCCAGGCAAACAAACACCACCGCACCAAAGCCAGCGAGGAGGAAGAAGATGCGGAGGTGTGGAAGAAGACGGGGCCCGCGCGACACTGTCCACCACCACCACCAGGCGAAGAAGACGACGCAGGCGGCGGAGTGAAGCCAGAGACACACCACCAACACCACCTCCAGCTGACTGACGGTGGTGGGAGAACTCCCAAACCCTAAGGCCCGGGAGCGTCTACAACCGCGCCGACACCACCAGGCGGAGCGAGTGAGGAGAGCGGAGAGAGCGTGGAAGGAGAGTGGAGGGGCGAGGGCGACTGAAGCGCCGCGGGGAGGGTGGGGGCATTAATGGAGGCCAAAACCCTAGCGACGCCACGCGCAGAGATTTCACCGCTCCCGCGCGAGCCCGCGGGGGCCAACCGCGATGAGGCCAAAATGGCCACACGCGCGCCTGAGCGAGCCGAGCCCGGGAGGAACAGATTTCATTTTTGTTCCCCCGCGGCCTGGCTCGCCCCTGCTTTGATGGCCATGCGGGCCGGGCTAGGGAGGGGGTCCAGGTAAACAAACACCCAGGGTTGCAGCCCAAGGGTGCATTGGCTCGCCTGGGCCAGGCAAACAAACGCGCCCTCCAAGTTGCAGCCAATCTAGTGAAACCAGCGTTGCCAATTTAACAATATTTGTTGACCGCAAGTCTTTCATCGTTCTGCTGGGCATGCAGAAATGATGAAGCTTTTGTGATTGCGCTCTTCTTGAAGTACTCACTTTCTGTTTCCATAAGTGGAAGGCTAGAGCAGAGCACTTCATGCTCTGTTCATTCCGTGTTCTGTTCGTTAGGAACTGTTGTGTGTTCTTTAGTCGTCGTTACGATTTCATCAGTCAGGGCTACCATGATTTGTCAAACTTTGGGAGGGTCCTTGGATGGTCCAATGCAATTAGGGCGTTACTAGCGCCCGGACAGACGCTCGCATCCGGATGCCCGCGGCCAAGTAGCAACAAGCGGAAGGCACGGACCTCAGCTTGCTCCAGGACAACCACATGAGCATCATGCCACCGTCGGCCCACCCGGGGCCACCACCTCCGCGGGCATTTACGTGCTCGTCGGGTAGGGTTTTCTCGAGCTCGAATTGCTGCAGCGAGATGGAGGAAAGGGAAGGAAGGGAAGGGAGAGGAGAGGCCAAGGTTTGAAACATCCATATAAAATATTTGCAACATACGTCTGCAGACAAATGAAATATTTGAAACATTCGTCTGAAACACTTCCAAAAAACACATGAAAACACTTGAAAATCACTGCAACACGTACACAACATCTAGATAAAACACTTGTAACACATGTGTGAAGCATATACAACATCCAAGTAAACACTTGCAACATACGTCTGAAAAAAACAGATGAAACATCGGAAACAGACGTTTGCAACATATGTGTACAACAATTGCAACATATGCAACATCCCGGTCTACTTTTACAACATCCATACGAACCCTTGCAACATACCTCTTAAACAAATGAAACACTCCGAACATACGCTTGCAACGTGTGCTTTCAGCGAAATGTCACCTTACTACTTGGACGAATAGAGCTCGTCCTTGTAGGGGTCGACACCGGTGCGGAGTTCGATGCCACGGAGTGCGAGGTCATCGGTGTGGAGCTCGTCGATGGCACGGAGCTCAGCAATGGCCGCGGCAGGCAGATGGAGTGCGGCCACGATGGAAGGCGCGAGTCCAGATGACGGGCGGGCGGCACGTGCGGAGGCGGCACCGGCGAGCGGCGTAGACAGAGTCCGTCCTGCCAGTGGGGCTGGCATAGCGAGCGGAGTCAAGTGGATGGACGGCCGTGACGCGTGACATATCATTATCGATGCAGCACACAGCGAGCCAAGTTCGTTAGTCGCACCAGTACAAACAGTGTAACTACTGCAGGCAGGCCCTGGGATAGATGGTCTACAACCCACAATCCGTGAACGAGGCCCAATCTTGCCATATCGAGGGGCCCTAATAGCTCAGCTCAAATATTTCCCAGTTTGAATGTTTGAGTCGTCCAAGCAGCCCTCGTCTTCAGGTCAGGTCGGTCGTCGGTGGCCACGCCGAGACAGACGCCGCGGCGATGCTTGGGCATTTGGACTTGGACCCGCAGATCACAGTACTAAAGCACAACGGACCAACCGCCTCCCACCGGCACGTGGGTCCAACAGCAAATCGGACTCATTTCTTTTCGTTCCAATCGGACTCGAAACCTGGAACCGTGGAACGCACGCATGACTGCGTGCGTCGAGTCTGATCTACCATGCCGCTCTCTGCCTCGCTCCATATAAACACCACGTCCATCCCATGCGGTCTCCGCTAGCAGCACAACTCGCTCGTCGCACCATTCACCCTCCGCGGCTCGATCCGCCCTGGTGTCCATCGACTCTCCACGCCTCTCGTCCCCTGTTCGCTTGAGTTTATCAGCCATAATCAGCACTATTTTTCAGTCACGAAACAGTGTTTTTTCTCTCACAATAAATCAGCCATACAAATCAGCCGCAGCCGCAATAAGTCATGTCAAACAGAGCCGAGTCGTCGTCAGCAGCAGCAGCACTAGCGAATTAGCGATGGGGAAGAGGAAGTCGAGGACCTCCAAGCTGATGGCGGAGCCCAAGAAGGCGCCGAAGCTGGACACGGACTTCACCTGCCCCTTCTGCAACCACCCGGCCGGCGCCGTCCAGTGCAGCATCTCCCTCAAAGCACGCCCTCCGTTCGCCGTGGCGTCGTGCAGCGTCTGCAAGGAAGCCTACGCCACAGCTGACGGAGCCCATCGACGTCTACAGCGACTGGATCGTCTCCTGCGAGGAAGCCAACCAAGGCGTCGTCGTCCGCCGCCCGCGCCTCGGCCTCTGGATATGATTGGATTATTTCGCTCAAACTGCAGAGACAGTGCACACGATTTGTTATGATTATGAAAAAGTACCTTGGTTCATGTTCGCTTTTTGTTTCTTACCCAAACTTGGTTGACATGTGCAGTGTAATCCCCACTCGCGGTCCAGCTCCAGAAGAATCTATCTTCATCATCATCAGAACCTGATATATTCCAGGAGCAACTGAATACTGATTCTTCCTTTACTATCCTTCACCCAGCGGTGATACTCCAAGGCATGGAACACGGTGAGCTTGATCCAGCAACAGCGGGGCAGTGCTCGACCACGCGTTCCTGCCCACGCTCTACTACCACCTCGAGACCGACAAGTTCTGTTGCCTCCTCATGTTCATGGAGTTCTGCTGCAGCGCCGGAAGGAACCTCCACACACTACCCAGCAAGTGATTCACCGAGAACGCACCCAGGTTCATCAGTGAGCTGGCAATGAGACAAATCCATCAAAGCACCAGTGGTCTAGTGGCAGAATAGTACCCTGCCACGGTACAGACCCGGGTTTGATTCCCGGCTGGTACAATCTTTTTTCTTTTTGACTTGCAAAAAGAGAAAGATCATCAGCTTATAATGAATGAATATTTTGAATCGTGAACTCAAGAGTTGTATCACAACTCTGACATAAATTTGGCAACAGAACCCTCTTTTTATTTGAAATAGGGAGGTTCAGGAGTAGAGTTGTATCCAGCCGGGGACCTGACCCCTGCTGAACAAAGGACTCGACAAGAGATGAAAAACACATCTTGTCATGCGTAAATAAAGGCAGAAAGATTGTTTTAAAGATCCAAAACGGAACGACCATTCTCCACCCTAAACTTCCACCCATTTGCTGAAAATATCAAGAAAAGAAGAGAAGGATGTTCTGTTTATAGCTTCGGCAAAGCAGCACACAAATGATGCAACCATGATTTTTTGATGTACCAGGATCAAGCTACTGGTAAAATCAGCAACATCTTGTGATCACCTAACAGGCTAACAGAGATGAGGATGGTAACTAGAACCAATGTTTCCTTGCAAAACCGTTCACCATTACTTCCACATAGTGCTTTCAACAGTTTTTAAGTTCTGAAACTGAAATGTCATTTCAAACCGCTTCCGGTCAGTAGATCGCATCAAATCTAACCACCATTACAGAAGTAGTAGCTGAATTTTCTGAAACTGCCTTAAGGGAAGATGACAGTCAATTCTCATGTCACTGCATATATCAGGGGCAGCAATGTTTAAACGCTTTCGGTTTCTGAAGAGACGAATTGCGAAGTTATTAGAAGTTCTGCTCTCATACTCCTCTACGCTTCTGGCTGATCAAAACTGTGGGTACGTTAACGCTGCAGCAGCTGAATTGGCAAGGGAACAAGAAAAATAATTATGTAATTAGAGATCAAATCATGGGTATTACAGAAGTGGCATCTAATCAAGAGAGGACAGAATAGATAACAGAAGACATTCATCTCCAAGATCTAAACTATATTGGCTAACATGCAGAACAAATGAATTATCTGAACTGGGGATCAGATTATTGGAACAACTGAATTTCTGAACTGACCACCATGGTATGAAATGGAATCTGACAATTCGGATCAAGCTAAGAATCTGTCAAAGACTGCTAAATCCTATGTGGCACTATGAATACTACAACAAAAGCTTCTGGTTATTTTTTCAGAAAGGCAAAACTTACATCAAGCACGGCTTGGCTAAAGTGTAAAAAACAGAAAAGAAAGAAGAGGATAGCATAGGGAGCAACTATGCAAAACTACAGGATTTCTCTGAACAACTGGGCTACGGAAAACAACAGGCAAGTGACATTTCATGTTGTCAGTGTGACACTCTGATCCACTGAAAATCTGTCATGCGGACTTTTTTTAACTGTTTTGTTTGCCTAACAAATTCAGAACTATAGCACTACCGTAAGCTATGGACTATATGTTGCAAAATTTGCTATCCACACTGCCATTACATGCTGGAAGCTCTATACATCTCACATGCTGAAATGGTGAGAAGCAGATAACAAGTGCTGCACACACTACTGCGAAAGCTGCAGAGTTCTCACCTGGTGATCCGGTGGTGTAGACGATGATTTGCATGGGATCTGCGTTATTAGGCAGGTTTGTAACAAGCGGGATCACGCGCGCATTGTAGCCGGCCCCCACGCCCAACGTGATGTTGTCGTCATGCTCAAGGCGCGCCACCTGGGCCCTCAGGTTGGCTACGGAGTTGTCGTGGGAGAAGAATGAAGGCCAGTCGTCACTATCAGGGTTCCCATCGTCGCCCAACCGAAAATGCCAGATCCTCCGCTCCGGATGCTGATGCATGCACCGCCTCCTGAACAGGCCACGCCTTACATGAATCTGTTGCAATGGAACACTTGTTTAATAACTGAATGAACAAGTCTGAATACACATTGTTTTGAGAAATAAATGTTCAGAGATAAAAGTCTTTACGGATTTCTCAGAAATGTCAGAAAAAATACGCTTGTGATCCGATAAGAAATGACCACGATCAAATCCCTCAAGTACAAATCATGACAAAGAACTCCAACAGTTACTTCAACTAAGACTTTCACATCATGAGTTTATGACAGAGCAATTCGTAAAGTCACCACAATCCAGAACAGACAACAATTTCTGTATAAGTGGTAGGAAATGGGAAGGCAAATATGATTAATGTGATCAATAACTGCATCGTAACAAATGCAGAGGCGCAAGAATACAAGAAACCGTAACTATTGCTAACTAGGATCGATAACTTTTGAGAGACTGAACACCGTGAACTTGTCATGAGCAAGAATTAACAGGATCAGACTTCTCTCGGAACAGGTGAAGAGTTTCAGTAAGTTCAGACTCTAGGATTGCGGCCAGGAGAATGCAATAATCAGAAGAAGAAACATCCACGCTTAGAAGGTGTTCCGAGTAACCCGTTCGCGGGATGAACGCGAGGAGCCGAGGAGTTGAAAGGAGAAGGGATGGTGAACTCACCGGAGGTTGAGGTGGAGGCGGAAGGGGCAGCGGATCCGGGGTCGACGGGATGGCCTCGACGCTCCACTGCATCATCGTGGTCTCGTCGCCGTTCCTGACATCGACGGTGACGAGCTTGTTCCAGTAGCGGCGCCTGCCGTTGGCGCGGAGGCAGCGCTGGTCGTCGTTGTGCAAGCGGACGTAGTTCTGGCCGGCCTCCACCCTATAGGGCGTCCACATGAAGGAAGGGTCCAGGTCCGGCAAGTTGTAGTCGCGCTGGACGCCGCGGTGGCCCGACGGGGGAACCTCATCCTCGTGCGCGACCGCGAGGTACCGGCCGTAGGCGGCGCCCTGGAGGAGGAGGAGGTCGTTGCACGAGTAGATCCTTATCACATATCTATAATCCAATAGTCAAATCATATATATCTTATATAGCTGATGTAGTTACTCCCTATATCCTGTAACATAGTGTATTTTATAAACTTTCGGATAGATTAATAGAGAATACAAGAAATGTATGTGCCCTCATTTTATTTTCTAATCAGATGCTATCAACAATATGATTATTAGTGATTGGTTGATTAAAGGGGAAATGTTTAATGCAAAATGATTTTTAATCTCTAGAATCACTTATATAGAGTACAATGATAATTTTAAATACTTGAATGCACTATGGAGCACCGGCGGGGAGTATCCGTATTTTCAGGTGGGCGCAAGGAAGGAAGGGAAGGGAAGGGAAGGGAGGGTAGGCGTGGCATAACCAGGGCAAGTCCACCTGACAAGGACAGGAAAGCACACGACTCCTTCCCAATTCCAACGCGGGCAGCGGGCGGCGCGGCGGGCAGGGCAGCGGTTTTTTCTTTTCTTTTCATTCCCCCACCCCACTCCCCCATCCCCTCCTTCCTCTTCCCCTCTCTTCGGTTCTTCCCCTTCCCCTCCCGTCCAGTTGTTGCGAAAATCGATGCCACGAAGAAACCCATTCCAACTTCCAAGTAACCCGTTCACGGAATCAAGGCGAGGGGTTCCAACTTCCAAGGAGAAAGGATAGCGAACTCACCACAGCCGGACGTGGAAGGGGTGGCAGCCCCGGTCCCAGTTGGAAGCTACGGACCGTCCAGTGCATCATCGTGGTCCACCTGCCTTCGTTGGTATCGACGGTGACGGCGGTGTGCCAGAAGCGGAACCTGCCGTTGGCGCGGAGGTTGCGGTTGAAGTCGTGGCCCCTTCGTAGTCGCGTCGTCGACCATCCTGAAGGGCCTCCACATGAGGGCGCCCGCGTCGGCCCCTTCGTAGTCGCGCTGGACGGCGCGGTTGCCGCGAACTCAATTGGGCCATTGGGCGTGGCGACTGGGGAGAGCGAGACCCATCGTGGCGGCATCACGAGCCCGGGCGTCAGGATCAGCAAGGAGGGCTACTTCACCCGGCCCGGCGGCCGCACGCGCTCGCCAAGCTCACCGGCGTCTACCACGAGTGGGTCCGCTGGTGTGAGCAAGGGAACGAGGGTTTCGTCGGGCGCCGGCGTGCTGGGGCTACGGCGACAACACCAACGGCTAAGACGGTTGACGATGTCATCGACTCATCTTGTGTCCTGTGCTCGTGTCACGTACAATTCCGTTTCCATCTTTTAGGGAGTAGACGCGCTGTCACCACAGCTCTTCTCACCCTTCTTCCGTCACAAGCTTATAAATCTGCGTTGCCTATTGGCCATGTTTGGCTTACCTCATATTCGGCATGTCCGGCTTCTTTTTTCAGTCGGAACAGTATTTTTCTCTCACAACATTTCAGCTAGAACAGTATTTTTCAGCCACTTTCAACCAAGATTTAGCAAGCCGAACGAGGCCTTATCAACGGCGCAGTGGCGCACTTCCTCGTCTCAAAAGAATTTAAAACACATTAGGTAGTAACTACAACCAGTGTTACTGTGCAAATTTGTTAACGCATTATTCCAGCTTCATGCTTTCACCTATCTGCAAGTTCTGAAACTAAAAGGCCAGTTAAAACCGCCTCCAGACAGTAAATATTTTGAATCAAATGGGAAGGGTATTTCCAGTGTTTCAACCCTTCATGCTAAATCAGGAGTAGTTCAATACGGAGTAGTATATCCACCGTCTATGAGTGTTTGACTAAGGCGTCGACCTGTGATCTGTGTTGCAAACTTTCTCCTTTTTTTTTTGGAAAAAATCTGTGTTGCAAACTTTGCGATTGTTATTTCTTGTGGCGTCCCATGCAGCGGCATGCTCGCTTACTCGTATACGATCGTGGATTATAAGCTGAAACAATATTTTTCTCTCACACTAAATCAGTCAGCAGTAAATAATTCATGATTGTTTACGGCCTGCCAAACAGGCTGATGATAGTTTTTACCATTTTGCTGGAGCTAGGGAAGAACACGGCGACGTGGTCTTGTGTGACGCGTGATCGCCCGTATGGCCGTATCCCAGTGACTTCGATTGAATCAGGCGTGGAGATCGTCGCCGAGTTGGGCCGTTCCTTGTTTAGCATTTCAGCAGACTGTAGATCAATGGAGTAGCAATGCAATCTTGTATTAATTGGAGGAAGCAATGTGTTATTTTATTTCAGCCCCTGTGTAGTTGACCGACACGGCTGAGTTTTTTTTTTTTTTGAGGAGTCGTGTTTTTGATTTATGAGTGAATTTATTGTCTTTGATTCTTGCCTCTGTTGCCACAGTAAACCTATTTTTTCTGTTGTTCGAGCACCTCTTGCAGTTTCCCAATACCTTCCCCTATCCTCATAAAACTGTTATGTTGAGGACAGCTATATTTTTTTCTTGCTCCAGCAATTCCCCAATACCTCTTCTTTTTTTTTTTGCCACCAATATTTCCCTCGTCTCCCCTCAAAGAAAGGGGAGATACACCTCCCTTAATATCATGGAGACCATCCCAACTACCACTTTTCAGCCATATTTTCTCTTATACTCCTGTGAGACCCACCTTCCATATGGGTATTAAAGGAGATATATTATGGTACTGCTGCAGCAACTCTCTCAATATTGACAAAAGATAATATCGGGCTACCTCAATACATGTATATTTGGTAAATATTATTAGGAACTGCAAGAGATGCTCGTACAAAGTTGCACAATACTTGATCGAATCAAAGTTCTCCTTAAAGGGGCAATGCTACCTCAAACAAATCTAAGGCATCCGGTTTTTATATTTTTTAAATTAATTAATTAACATAGTAGAAAAAGAAAAAAAAGATAATTATTCCTAAATCTTCTCATCACGGGGAATATATCTCTACAACTAAAATATTCATAAGAGAATCGTTGATAGGCGTGCGAAACAAATCAGCGCTCGCCCCCGCTCCCTTCGTGCGAAACAAAACCTTGACCGCTCGCTCGAATGACCACCTGGCTTCGCAGGCTCCCTCGCCGTCTCGCACGCGAGACCGCCCCGCGCTCCCCTCGGCCAGTCGCTCGCTCCCGTGTCATCCAGCGGAAAAGGAGAGCCCTCAATCACAGCAATCCACAATCCCATTCCGCGCACTCCAGAACCTTCCTTCCCATGCCGCAATATCTCCTCCCCTCCGGTAGCTAGAGGTCGCGCCGCCATCGCCCGCCGGCCTCGCTCCCCGCACACCGCCGTTCTCCGCACCTGCCCTCGCACCCGCGCTGTCGCCGTCGAGCGTCGCGGCCGCTCTCACCAAGCCGAGGGGAGCCAGTCGACCAGGGCGGTGGACTTGCCTTCCTCAAACGTTTTCTCCCGCCGGCCTCGCTCCTCGCGTGCCACCGTTCTCTGTCCTCTCCGTCGCACCCGCACCATCGCCCTCGCCCTCGTTCTTGGCATCACACGCCGTGGCCGCCCTCGCCGTTCTCCGCAGCGCCTCAGTTGGCTTGGGCGTTAGGACATTGATGTTTCTGATGCTTTGATAGTTAGATCATATAGTATTTCATATGGACTTGGTGGTATTATTTGTCTCGTTGCAACGTACGGGCACTCAACTAACTTAGAGTCATCGTCGCTTGTAATAATAATATCTATGATTTTACTATTTCTATATATTGCTAATGCCGAATCTTGACACAAACACTTAAGTTGATACCTTATTCTATAGTATATGTCTGCGTGGAATAGATAAAGCCACACATATTTATACGGTGAGTACAACGTACTTTGTTTTAAGGTTTGGAGAGAGATTTTTCAAGACACGCAGTATTACCCATACGGTGGGCACTAATATTTACATATATACTCTAACCTGTGTACAAGATAGTACGGAGATGCGGCGAAACTTATTCATGCATTTATTGGTGCATGAAAGAAATGTATATCGGAGATTTATTTCTACCGATACAAAATATTTTCTTAGCCGCATCACGGAAAGGTCTATACAATAGGGTTTATGAGCCTGCGATGCCGCGCTCTACGTGATTGTGTTAATTTCATAAATTTTGTTTTTTGGATTAAATATCACTTTAACGTTGGTATTTAATTTTATAGTATTGTTATCTTATCGTGTGAGCCGTGTGCTTTTAGTAGTATAAAATGTTAGCTATCTCGTAGCAACGCACGAGGACGAACCTAGTATTATAATATGGCCATAAGGACCATGTCCATGGCATGGCATTTTGGTTCGGCCCAGGTATGATGCGGCCCGACGTGCCCGTGCCAGCCACGGTCTGACGAATGGGCTGTGCCTAGGCCACAACCTCCACATGATATGCCAGCCTGGTACAACCGGATTACTAGTGGCTCGAGATGTAATATATAACCCTTTCAAATTCTAGGTCAACATTTCATATCCACGCACCATAACAATCGCCTATTGGTCCTTCCGCTTCCAGGATATTTAACTTTTTGCCACATTTACATTTGGCAAGGGCTCAAATGCTAGTTTTAGGCGTGTCCCTAAGTTTTTGCCACCGCACCGACTAAAACTTCAACTATTTAGACATTTTGTAACGCGTGGCTGCCCAAATCACCCGTCTAGCGTGGCAGGGGCCCTCAAATGACCTCCCTGCCCCTGCCTTATCCTTTAGCTCAGCGGCCATTGTTCATCTTCCTCGTCCTGGACGCTACGGCCTCAGTTCTGGCCTACACCTACTCGTCGTCGCTGCAATCGTTCGCCAGGGCACTCATCCTGCCCACGCCCGCCAATGCCAAGCACATTGTGCACACGTCACCGCTGTCCGCGATCACCGCTGTGAGCGCCAGGGCGGCAGTGAGGACGTTGAGGACGCCGCGCTGAGCAAGGCGGATCACAATTTAAACTAAATTGCCATATACGTTAAGATCATGCATACATAAATTAGATCTTGAAAAAAAAATATCTACAATTTTTCTTATTTATCTGCTAAGAGGAGGTTGCACAATACCTGATCGTACCAAAATTGTTCGGAACGACATCATTTCCGAATAAGCTATCTTTTACCTTGTTCATATGCAGTCGTTTGTTGATAGAAAGTGGTAATAGAGGCCAGAGGGAACTCTGCATGATCTTTCCAAACAGCCAGCCTAGTGAAAGTAGTGTTGTCAACTCAACCATATTTGTTGCCCGCGAGTCTTTTTATCGTTCCAGTGAAGGCTTGATCGAGCAGAGCACTTCATGCTCCGTTCGTTTAGGAATTCTCGCATGTTCATTAGTCGTCATTACAATTTCATCAGTTAGGGCTACCATCCATTGATTAATCTCTGGAACGGTCATCCCATGATCATGATCTTATGCATCCAACTCACAATGTAGCTAGTTTAAAAAAAACACACACAATGTAGCTAGTTTTTAAAAAAATAAACTTACAATGTCGCTGCTGCAGGCAGGCCCTGGAATAGATGGGCCACAATCCATGAACGAGGCCTATCGACGGGCCTTAGTCTCAACTCAATCAATCAAAGACAATTTGCCACGTCCTGCCGTCCAAACAGCCTCGTCGCGTCACGGCGTCAGTGCTCGGTTCGCTCCAGATCAGATTCGCTCGGGCAGTTGGACCCGCAGGTCCACAAGACCACAACAAATCAACCGCCTCCCACTGACACGTGAGCACTGGGATTTTGTGGACTCGCAACTCGCAAGAGCTCTCTCTCTTCTTTTTTTTTTATGAGTCAAGCACGATGGCAAACTCCCGATGTGCCACGTACAATGAATTCATTAGTGATGCCTTGACCCAAGAAAATCACAACAACATGCATGCAGTTGCTAAAGGTCGCAAAGAGGGCCTATGAGGCGGTGCATCCGGATCTTCCAAATGAAAAGCGCTTTGTCACAGCTAGGCCACAATTCCGCCCACTGCTGCACCCAAGTTCAGGGCCTCCACCACCGAAAAGCTCAGAATAACAGGCCACAGAAACCGTTCCGTAAGGCGTTCACTATTGCCTTACCAAAAGGAAATGGTAATCAGGACAGCTCCACCGGATTCAT